GGCTTTCCCTGTGCCCACTGCAAAAGCGCAGATCTTTCTTCCAAACAGGAGACTCCTCTCTTGCGAATTTGCTTTGTGCCTCTGGATCCACGGACCTGGAAGGGGCCTGTAAGTCCCACTCCGTGCTCAGTGCGGGACCACACAAGCATCCCTAAGCCTAACTCCCACTGCCCCTTGAGGGCCTCCGTGGTGGGAGAGCCACCACCTCCCTGGGTCATGGGGTCCATGGTCGCACTGCTGTAACAGTGAGGAACTATTTCCTGGTGTCTCACTGGAAACTGGCTTCCTGTAGCTTAAGCGCATCTTCAGCTTAGGGCCTGGGTATCCAAAGGAAGAGCTTCCATATGCACCTATCTGGACCCTAAACTCAGCTATGGAGGTCCTCCTGGAGCCACCTTTAAAAAACTGCAACGAAGGGGGCTATGAGGGGAAGGGTCTTCTTGACCATGTTGCTCCGGCTGTGGAACCAGCCCCCCCCCCCCCCCCCCGGGGCCATGTGCCTGTTTCTGACCCTTTATATATTTCAGCATCAGGTTAAAACCTTTTTATTCTCCTAATATTTTAATTTCTAAACTCAATATTCTGATTTTATACTTGGTTTTTATTTACTCAACAGTTAACTTGCTGTGGATCCGTTGTTCTGATGTGTATCACCACCATCTTGCTTAGTTGTTGCTATTATACTTTTATTATTATTACAATCAAGCTATACAATATTTACTTGCATTGTTAGGATCATTGTAGTCAAGGTAGTAGTTTTATGCCTGATATAGTTTGGAATGATGGTGCACTGTTCAGAGAGTGCCTGCTACAGAGTAGTATATAAAAAGTTAAATAAAGATAGAAACCATTCCATGTCCTGGTACTCAGGGATGATTGAAAACTGGCCCTGGCCCTCTGTGTGGCAGCTGTTCAAGAATTTGAAAGTGTTATTGTGTTTTCTCTTCTCGAGGCTAAACATGCCCGTTCCAGACACTCCATTTTATTCTGTCTCCTTCCCCACCGATTTCCCATTTCCTTCCTTTAAAACTTTCCTCATTTTCTGTCCCCTGAGTTCTTACTTGGCTTTTTGTGGAGTCCCCTGCACACCAAAGACCTGTATGGACATTTGCACGCCTCGGGAAGCTTGCTGACGCCTTCCCCGTGCGTGTGTATTGTGCTCTTGTGCTACACTCAGCAATGCACACCAGAATTACGACAGGCGAGGCGTTACAAGCAGCTTTCTGCATCACTTATCACAACGTGAATGGAGAGTGAGCAGCAAGCAGGTCGTGGTTCTCGCACCTGTAAAATGCCAGAATGTTGGGGTGTCCAGTGAAACCGGAGAGGCAGTGCGGCGGAGTGGTGAGCGTGTTGGGCGGGGACTCAGGAGGTCCAGGTTGTAGCCTCCCACTCAGCCATGAAGCCGAGTGAATTTTGAGCCAGTCCTTGACTCTCTGCCTAACCCTACCTCACAGGGTTGTTGTGAAGGCAAAATGGAGAAGAGCAGCTTATAAGCCAGCATGGGCTCCGTGTGTGTGTGCGCGCGCGCGTGCATATGCAGTGGGGGGGGGGAGATAGGATATAAATACAATAAATAAATATGGAAATGAAGTACCTGCAGAACACTGGCTAGAATTTTGCATGGTCTGTCACCCACTTACAGAATTCAATCTGTACTCCTCAGGCTTTGCTACACAAGGCATTTCTTGTGTTCTTGTGTTTCCTTGCTCACTGAAGTTTGCAAGCCTTTCACGCAGCATCTTCAACCTCCCAGGGCCTCTCTTCTGTTTTCCAGCCATGTTTGCAGCCATTTTTAGAGCAAGGATAATGCAGTATTTTCCAGGATGACACCTTTATTTGCTAAGGAAGCCTTATCTAAAGTCTGAATTCTGCCCCATCCCGCAATGCCGCCCTGCGTTGTGTAAGGGCAGGGCACATACACAAAGGCAGAGCAGATTTCCAGGGTCCGGAGTTTCTGCTGGCGTGAATGACAGCGCTATTTGGCACTGCGGCTGGGCAGGGAAGGGTTAATTCTCACCTCCCCATTTGCTCTCACCCCCTCCTGACCCTGAAATCGGCTCCTTCATGGCAATTAAACTGAAAAGAAATATGTTTTGCATTGATTTGGGATGATCTGGGTCAATCTGCTAATGAATGCAAGAATGGATTTTGCTTGACATGATTGGGATGTGAAATTAACTGGTTTAATTAGGAAATTTTAATCAATTCTAGCCATTAGTTCCAAATGTGCCCTATATAGATATCAGTTTGGCAGACGAGAGCCCAGGGCCTGGCATTTTGGAGATGTCTCGCAATGGCCCTGCACCCAACAGACCAGACAGCCGGCTGTCCTCGTCATGAAGTCGTGTCCGACCCATCGCGACCCCATGGACAACATTCCTCCAGGCCTTCCTGTCCTCCACCATCCCCCGGAGGCCACTTAAGCTCATGCTTTTTTTTTTTTTAATCACCGCAAAATAATTTTAAAAATCGGGTGGTTATGTTGCTCCTCTCCAGGGACTGTGACTGGATGCAGAAGTGTGGCACGAAGCCTTGCTTTCTCCACCAGTTGTGAGGTCAAGATCAAGAGGCGATGAGCCCGCTGGACGGCTTACTGTTTGGGAAACCTACGGACTATCAGGTCTGTGTCAGGCCTTCGATCATAAAGAGGCAGCAGAAGGAGTCCCGCACGCCCCAGCCTTTCAAACCACTCGTGGGGTCGGAGCTGTCGAAACATGTGCGGAACTGTGCCCCAGATGCACGCAATATTTCGCACTTACCCTACAGACCTCGGGGGCGGGGGGATCCGGTCCTAAAAGGAAGCTAGCCGGCCCATAAACTCAGAATCCGTTAGTCTGCGTCGCCGATATTTTTAATGACAGAGTAAATAGGATGACGCCGCCTCCGTCGTTTAAAATATCAGCGTAACGGAGCGTTGGAGCTTCTTGGCAGAGGCCGAAGGCGGCGCGGGCAAGCGGGGCAGCGCCGCTGGGTGGAGAGGGGTGTTCGCCTGGCGGGAGGCGGAGCGACGCGCTCCATACATGCTCAGAGGTGCTCTCGCGGCCGGCTTTGTTGGACCTGGCCTGAATCCGTGCAGGAGGCGGGCGCGGGGGGGAGGAAGAGGAGGGCCGGGTGGCTGGCTCGCTGCGGCGGCTGGCCGCCTCCGTGGGAGGGGCGAGGGAGCCCCCCCCTCCGTCCGTCCGTCCCCAGGGCCGCATCCAGCCTGCGCCAACAGAGCTCCGGGGCGGTGCGCGGCGCCAGGTGAGCGGGGGAGGGAGGCGGGGGCCGAGGCCACCTGGGGACAGGCGCGGGGGCTTGCGGCAAGGCGGGCGGACCCTGCTCCTCTTCCCCTTCCAGCAGCCGGGAGGAAGGCAGCCACCCCTCCCCCGCCTCCCTCCCTCTCGCTCGCTTTCTCCACCCCCAAACCTCCTCCTGACACCTCCCCCCCGCCCCCCCCCGCTGCTCTCTCCGTCGCTCTCCGCCAAAAGATGCGCTTCGGCGCTTGCAACGCGCCCGGGCGGGGAGGGCGAGCTTGACGGCGAGAGAAACGGGCGCGACTTGCCCCCCGGGGTTTATCCCCCCCCCGCGCTCCGTTCTCCCCCTGCTCAGATCGGCTGAGATCCCGACGCCTCCACCCCCCCACCCAGCGCCTTCCCCACGTCGCCGCACCGCCTTCGAAATCCTGCTCCTTTGTGTCTGGGTCTTGAAAATTCAGCGGCCAGGTAGGCAGCAACGGGGGAGGGTCTTCCCTCCCCCGCCCCCCTGATGTATTTCTGGGGACCTCCATCCCTTCCCTTCGAGAAGAGGCTGGTCCAGCCAAGCAGCGAAGACAGGTGGGTGCCACCAACACCCACCCACCCCAGAAGATCCCCTCCCGATAAATAAACGGAGGCGAGGGGGGCTATTTGGGGAGTGGGGGAGGAAGGAAGGCAAGCAGAGCGGCAGGCCGATTGGGTTACCTCCTAGACAAATCCCGGAGGCCTGGGGCGGGGGGGTTGCCAACCGCTGAGTGCTGGGAAGGGGGTGCAGAGAGGCTGCGACCAGCGCGGATCCGTGACCAGTTGTGGCTCTTCCCCGTTCTAGCCTTGCTCGCTCCAGCCCCTGCTCCGACTGGGGACCAGGCTGCAGAAGACCAGGATGACACAGCTTCAGGGGTGGCGGCCGCAGAAGGAGGGTGCCTCCAAAGCCAACAGGCTCTCCCACGCCTGCTCGCTCCATGCAGCCCCCTCGCCTCAGACGGTGCCCTTTTGACCTGGCCCAAAGAGCCCTGGCAACCTTTTCCACGGCCAGGGCCACACGCCCTGCTTCGGAGGAGTCTGTCGGCGTCCCGGTGGCCTGGCTGTCGGGGTAGGAGGTGAAGGAACCTGCCAAAGCTGGCTGCGGATCACCCGGTCCCCCTCCTGATTGAAGCGCACCCTCCTTGGGGCTTGCGGGGCTGCTGGGTGGCAGCCTTCACGTCCAGCCAGAGGCCAGTTGGAGCAGCCACAGCTGGAGAGCGTCCGTCTGAGATCGGCAGAGACCCGGGCCATCTGAGAGCGGAGCGAGGAGGGTGACCCCAGAGGGGTGTTTCTCAAGACTTCCCCAAAGCCTTGCGTGAAAAGAGTGGAGGGCTTCCTTTCTGTGGACACAAAGAAGTTTGGGCCCCGGCCCTTTATGCTTCCTGTGAGGCCCTGGCAAAAGCCACATGGTCTGAAGGCATCACGCCCGTCTGCTCTCCCAGCATCGTCTCCCGCCCGTCCCCAGAATAATAGCTGGACACGCATCAAGCACTCACCTCGGGCACCTTTGTGCAAGACTGCTGGGTCCTGAGAAAAGGGGCCAGCCCTCCCACTCCTGGGCTTTTCGTGCGAGACAGCGGTCTGGGGAAGCGCCCCTGCCCCCAGGAGGTGGGGAGATGCTGCCCTCTGAAGCACGGTGAGGCGGGAGTGTGCCGCAGGCGCACCGGGACTGATGGGCCGGGCACCGGCCTGGTGACCCCGCCGGCCCCCCATGCGCAGCCCGCAGCGGCAGCCGGCACTATGGCCCGGCCCGGCACGGGGACGCTGGTCTTGGCCAACGGGCTGGGCTTCCCCCCCAGCAACGTGGCCCGCGTCGTGGTGTGGGAGTGGCTGAACGAGCATGGCCGCTGGCGCCCCTACACGGCGGCCGTGTGCCACCACATCGAGAACGTGCTGAAGGAGGACGCCCGCGGGAGCGTGGTCGTGGGGCAGGTGGACCCGCAGCTCTCGCCGTACATCATCGACCTGCAGTCTATGCACCAGTTCCGGCAGGACACAGGTGGGTGCCTGAGTGAGGCTGGGCGTGGCTGGGCACCTGCAAAGGGCCCCAACCTAGCGGGGGCCCACGGGCGAGGCTTCCCCTCCCCTGCCCACTGCAACCTGCTTGTATCCCTGCCGCTCGCTTTGGCCCAGACAAGGGCGGTGGCGAGAAGGAGCCGCGGGAGAGACTGTGGCCCGCTTGTTCACAGCCCACTTACCTGCCCAGCAGGTAACATGGGTGCAAAAGAAGGAAGAGCAGGGAGGGAAGGCCGCCTGGAAGGAGAGGTCCTGTGAGGGTCTTGCCTGAGGGTCTTCACAAACCCAGGCCTGGCCCTGAGTGAGGAGGTGGCGTTCCGGTGGGCCAGAGAGGTCTCAAGGTGGCGTTTGCCCAGGTGGCCGGGGCATCGGTTGGGTCGAATCGAGTGGTCAAGCTTTGCTGAAAGTCTGGATTGTAATGAGGCATGTTTGGCCATGCACGCGCCCCCCCCCCCACCTCCCTGCAAATAGAAAATCAGCTGCAGAATCCCTTCCTTAACCACCTAGATTTTTGTACGCAGGGAGGGGCTTTCTAGATATTCATTAGGTTTCTATACTACAGGTCTTTGGGCATTTCATAAAAATTAAAATCCTGCCATGCAACACAGTAAAGCTTATTAGTAAACCAGTCAAAGCTGAAACCAGAATAAGAGTGCAGTAAAACTCAGGATTCATAAGGTTGAATTGGACAATTCCACATTTCATAAGGAAAACAGGAGGAGGAAAAGCCTGGAGAAATAGAACCGCCGTCACCTGGGGTCTATGGGACCATGGTAGCAGAATCGAGCAAGCTGATTGATTCTCCATTGGGGAAGCATTTAAGAGCCCCCCCCCCCCCCCCTTGCAGTCCTTGCAGAGGTCTGGCCCCATAGCTGCTGCCCTCCCTGATCTTCGGCCATGCGGGCTGAGGCTGATGGGAGGTGTAGTGGAAAACATCTGAAGGGTGTTCTAGGGAAGAGGGGTGTCAACGCCCAGCCCCTCTTTGTTGTCTGAAGCGGCTGGTGCAGCCTGCGGAAGTGTTGATCGCCTGATTCTAGTAACTATACGGACTGGGCAGAGGTTCAAGCATAGGACCCGTGCCGGGAGCATCTTGGGATCATGTACCAGCAGCTCACAAGGGCCTGGTGTCTGGGCAGGAGTCCGCCTTCCCTTGCTGCTCTTTGCTGGCAGATGCAGTGGGCTTTGCTCGCAGGCGTTTCATTGCAAAGCTTCTGCCCTGCACCGGAGCCCTGTCCAAGGAGGGTTTGGGGTGGCCTTAGCTCAGTGCTCCGGAATGGTGCGTTCCCTTCCCGCTCAATAGACAAAGGCTCTCTGGAGTCCAGACACAACTTCCAGAAACGCTCTGCTCTGTGCATCTTTGTTTGGAAATTTAGCTCTGCAGATGGAGGCCGAGATCTGCAGGGTTGTCGCTCGCAGTGAAGCCTGTTTACTCGGAAGTAAGTTCCACAGCTCTGGGAGGGCTTACTCAGTAGTTCAGGGACGGGCAACCGCTTTCGGCCAGAGTTCAGTTTTGGATAAGCCCTTTGAGGGCCGTATTACGGCAACGGGCCGGGCAGAGACAAAAATACCAGTGTATTTTCTCCTAAAGCTCTTCCTGCCGATAGCTATCCCTAAATAGGCATTTCACCCTTTTGGAATGGGTGGATTGGGGGAATGTGCGCAAGCTGGAAATTCACTGGGCGCGCATGGAGAGGGGGAAAGGGGTGTGGCTGTCTGGAGCTGGGTGGGGACCCCAGGAGAGCCGGAACGGGTCCACGGAAAAGAGCTTTCCTGCTATAAGCCTCGGGTAACCAAGAAGTGTGCTTAGTACTGGCAAGCCTGATGCTCAGGCCCACAGGGCAGGGGACGATGCACATGCTCTTTGCACACGCTCTAAATTCTGCCTGCCTGTGTGTTTCTAAAGGATGCTGCCTTCTGAGAACACCGCTCTTTGTCAAAAGGGCGTATGGACGGGGGACAGGAGAGCCTTTGATTTCTTCCGGAACAAACATCAAGCAGAAAGATTCCAGGAGGGGGCAGCAGGCGTGAAGCCAAACCTGGCCATTCCCTAGCGGCACCCCTGCTTTTAACTCATGGCAGATCTGGCCCGTGTGGGTTTCTCTTGGGGTTTCCTGCCATTCATGAATTAAGCACTGAATGTAACTGAAGGAGGACCGTCTTTCCTTTTTCCAAAAGCAACAACAGCAAGCTGTAGATCCAGTGTGGTGTAAGCTTTTGTGGACTAGGAGAAGCCACATTTGTGGACACAGGGCATGTTCTCCTCTCCTGCGCCAAATGTAGACGGAGAGAGATAAAGGAAAGGTCTCCAACAGCCTGAGTGAGACTCCCAAATGCCGCAAGACTCTCGGCTGCTTTGTTGCCACAAACATGGCTAAGCTGCTGGAATGGAGAAGACGAACCATGGTGCTTTCCATCATGTGACAGCAGGCCGCTGTCTAGAAGGCCATGTGGGATCCCAGTTCTGACCTCAGAGAAGCCCTGCAATTTGCAGGGTCTCAGCAGAGCTCCCGCCATCTTTGCAGCCAGCACGGTTCTTTCTGCATCAGCTGCAGCTCCAAAGTTGGAGGGCCAACTCTGGAGCTGGTGCTGGGGCAGGAGCAAAGCCCCGCCAACCTGCAAGAAATTCTGGTGGCGCTTCCAGTTCCTCTCCTTATGAGCCATTGTGAAACACTTAGCTGAAATTGGCCGTCAAGGTTGTTTAGACAGTGTGACACGCACCAAGCAAACCTTGTGTCTGTGCTTCTTCTGTCTGTTGTAACTCTGAGTTTTGAGGGTCATGGCACTGTAAAATAAGTTTCTAGGTCTTGTAACTGTAGAGGGAAGGGGGTCTGTGCTCCATTTTTTCTCAGCTTGGAAAATGCAGAAGCTAATGAAAATCGGATTATTGGGGGTTTGCTGAACGAAAGTGTTTTGAGTGCCAGGAATCATATGTGAATAAAGTAAAATAATAATAAAGGTAAGAGTAACTCTGAGAACATGCAGAGTGCTATTGAAGAGACAGGCACATCCGCTTAGTTACAGGTGTATTAAGGCAAGCAAACAAAAACCCTACCACACGATTTCAGGTAAGGCCGAGTGTGTCATCTGATTTGTGTAGTGTGGAGCATTGCATTGGACTGACGAGGTGGAGATTCAAATTCCTGCTCGGCCATGAGGTTCATGGTAGGACTTTGAGCCAATCACTTTCTCTCCACCTACCTGTCTATCTTGCAAGACTGTTGTGAGGATAAAATGCCATGTGAGCCTCTGCGAGTCAGAACATATCCGTTGTCCTGAACACTTGCGGGAAAGACAGAGCAAATACGCCACACCGTCCCTGCTTGTTCACCCCTCCCTTTGTCCTTTTCACTTGGGCCAAATCAACAGAGGCTTTTCTGTTGAACTTTCGCCTCCCAGGTGCAATGAACTGTACCTGCCATGAATCAGCCTCCAGCACAAGCCTTTGGACACCTGCGCCTGCAGAGGTCGAGTTGCTTTTCGGAGAAGCAAAGGCACTGTGATAAAAGCTGTGACGGCATGGCCCATTTGGAAGTGCGGCCGCTTGTTGGGACGGTCCCCATAGGCATGGTCCCGAGGGGAGCCTCAAAACCCCAGGCAGCTGCCTGCTCCAGATCCATCAACTCGTTGTCACTGTTTCCGCCTCCACCAGAAACCGGACTTTTGTGAAGTTGTCGGAACCTGTGACAGGCACAGCCCGATGCACTCGGCTGCAGATACACAGCAGGGCGTGGTGGTCTGCATTTCTTTTAGGCAGCTGCTTTTGTCTGCCTAGATGAAGCCCGAGAGAGGAGGAGGGAAGAAAGCTGGAACACCGGGAGGAGATGCTACCAGCCACTGTTCTCAGCCTCCCCCACGCCCCCCGAAGAGGCAGCTGGCAGGTTCATGCAAGGGATGCAGCTCGGGGCCACTGAACAGTGCCCTGGCCTCCTGGACAGTGTCGTGGGCTGTTGGGTGGCTCCCTGCATTGCCCCCCAAAAGGCTTGCCTCACAAGAAGCCAGGCAGTGGTGTAGTGGCCCCAGGACTCACACGGATGGGGCACCCATCCTTTTTAGCAGCAGGGATGGTGACAGAATCCCCTTAGATTCCCCTGTTCCCGCTGAGATTAGCTGCTGGGCAGATGATGCTTTTTCCAGCAACCCCGTAGTGCTCTCTGCTGTAATACTGAGCATTCTGGAGGCCTCTTGGGCTCAGGTGAGCTGTGCAGGTGCAGTTGCTTGCCATAGGCCAGTCCTGGAGGAGACCAGGCTGCTAGAACGGGTTGGGTGCATTGGAGCCATTCAGCTGCTGGCCTGTTTGGGCCCTCCTTGAGGGCATGGCTAGGGGGGCTATCGGGGTGGGCTCCTGTTCTTCAGAACGGACTACTACACCCCTGCACCGGGGAGTGCAATGAGACGAGCCCCTGCTACGCATACGGAAGGCCCCCAGGTCAATCCTCGACCTGTCCAGGTGGGGCTAGGAAAGAATCTTGCCTGAAAGCCCGAGGGCTGCTGCCTGCCCATGCTGGGAGTACTGGGCTAGAGGGACTAATGGCCTGGCACCAGGGAAGGCCATGTCCTGTGCTTGTATGCTAGCCCTGCTCCCAGGATTGGGAAGGCCCTAGTAAAGTGCCATCAGGGTAGCCCTTCTTGGCTGAGTGTCTCCCATTCTGCATTGTTGAGTCCTGGCCGGTCTACCTCACAAGGGTGGCGGCGGCAACAGCAGTGTTGTGCTGCATGCCGGGCAGCAGAGGGGCCCTGACATACTATCACTCCAGGGCATTGTGGGAAATAAAAATGACCACTCCCAGCTCTGGTGCTGCCTCTTGTTGACTGGACAGCCAGGAGAAGCCTGTTTTAAAAGCCAGTGTCGGGAAGTGGTTGGTGCGGGCCTAGGACACTGTAGTTGCGCGTTCTAGTCCTCACTGGGTCACAAAGCTGAGAGGGTAGCTTTGGGTCAGTCCCTGACTCTCCACCTAGCCTACCTCACAGGGTTGTTATGAGGAG